GTCAGCTGCTCTTTTTGCCTTGTGTAACAGGAGGCACAGGCTACAGGGCAGAGGTAGCTGGGCATTATTGAACTTTTCCAGACTGTGCCCAGAATGTGTGTTGGAGGAGGAGAGGGGATTAGATCAATGAAAAAACAATTGGTCAAAAAATAGCATTGAGGAGGGCAAGCTGAAAGAATAAAGTGGCAATCAAGATCTTAACTAGAAGGGAAATATAACTAAAATAAAGACTTAATTATAATTGTCAAGTATTTGCTTTTGAGACAAATGTTATGGATTCATAGAGGATTCATAAAGGCTAAAAGTGTGGATTTCATTTCAGGAAATTATTTTGAGAGTGTTTATACCATCTCATTCTCTTCCAGCAGGCGTCACTGTGAGTCAGTTCTATCTTGAGTTATAAATAGAAAAGGTAGATATCAAATAATTTTTGACCCAACTCCATTTCTTAATGTTGGCATAATAAACTTCAGTATCTCACCATTACCCTTTTAATGTGATGCACATTTTGACTAGCAAGCAACGTATAGCACATATTGATCTAAATCCATAAAGTATAAACAAATTAAGGTTCTTGCTGTATTCTGGATCAAAATTCAGGTGAATAATCTGTTTTTCCTTTGGGTATTTGTTAAATTAAACTAATTTATAGAAATTTGAAACCTTCCCACTGACATTAATTTACAAATAGGATTGACTTTTGTAGTGTAATCCAAAGCTATAAATTATGTGCATTAAAATTTATTGGGGGGGGGGGAGATTTATTTGTGCACCTGCTACAGTACTAATATTGTGCTTCACTGTTTTTCTATCTTTGATTATAGCTTAAATTGATTCTCTAGCATTGAGCCACATACAGTGATACAACTTAATTTTATTAAATTTTACAGAGATTTTTTTCTGTACTAATATAATCACAAAAATATAGGGATGCCAAGTTTACACAGTAAAGGAGCTCACTAACAGCCATTTCCACCACTTAAATCCCATCAAACTGAAGTATCCTAGGCAGGCCAGAGATGACAAAAAACAAAACCAAAAAATTGCCTGCAGAACTTAAGGAACCTAACAGAAGGTAAATAAAATACAATAAACTTATCAAATGTAATTTAAGAATATGAATATAGGAGAAGATAAACTATAAATTGAAATCTAGAAGTGTTCTTCAAATTGCAGCAATTAATCTTGGTCCTTAAAGAAAGGTCGTTGGCTTCATCAGAATTAATGTCTGTGATACTACGATTAAATTGCACTCACTCAATTAATTCAATCTTCCCATTTTGAGGGAGAGCAGAAAATATGAGCCATTTCATTTTGGTGAAACACTTGTGGTTTCTAGTTCTCATTGAACTTAAAGCACATTTTCCCTGTTGGATGCCAAAACACGAGGTAATGTTAATGAGGAAAGGCTTATTGGTATGATTTTTTTTTCTTTACATAGTGGAGGTTAAAGAGTTATAAACTACAGCTCTAGTGAATAAACCTGCCCGCCCAGTATGGAAACGTCCAATACAAAAGATGGCCTAAGGAAAGCAAATATTTAAATGTCAGCAGTGGCTTCCATAAGCAGCAATGAGGAGTTGGTCAGTGGCCTGGCTCAACTCCCGGCTGGCATGGACTTCCCAATGCGTAGAGTAGAGGGCTAACCTGTTTCAGAACTGGACATGAATGCAGTTAGTTTAACAAAGTAGCTGGTTAGACATGTGACTGTGTGTGGAGTTCTGCATGTCAGTCCCCTAACTCTGACTATTTCCATCATACCCAAGCAGTCTGACTTTCCATTGTTAGTAAGGAAGCTAAAGCCTGATTGAACCCAATGTCTAGTAGCCCGCTTGATGTCACCTTTATAATTGTAGGGTGGCATATGAAAACTCTTTTACAAGACACACATATGGCCTTCCTCAGAAATGACTGTTCTACCGAACACTTTCTGATTTGCAGACAGGAAGGAACTGAAAGGTAAAGAAAGGCTTGTTCTTCCTTGGGTACAACTGCAATGCCAGCTAAGGTTAATGGGAGGTTTGTGGTCTTTTAGAGTCCTTAAGGTTAAAACAATGATGCATACATTTGACAGGCTCCATTCAAAGCCTGTAGGCAGAGGTGTAGTTGGCATATTGAAGACAATGCAGAAAAATATCCTGTTGCTTTTCAGGTCAGAGGCTATGACTTCAAGGCTGACATCTGGAGTTTTGGAATCACTGCTATAGAGCTGGCTACAGGGGCGGCTCCTTACCACAAATACCCACCAATGAAGGTAAGCAGCAATCTTCAAGTGCTTGTGGTGACAAAAAATGAAATAAACTGCATTTACTGAGTTGATTTTGAAAGTTAATTTTTAACTTGTTAAAAAGTTGCCTGCTATTTTGTGATGGTATTAGTAAAATACCACCAGAGTCACAGGTTTGCCTTTTAAGATCTCTATGGGGAAGTTCTTTTAAAAGTTAAACTCTTTTGTGCTTAAAATAGAGGATAATACTATTCAAATCTGTACCCTTCTTTAAACAGACCATCATTCATGAATAGTATTGGACAGAATCTCCCCTGTATCCTTTAAAAGCAGCATGACAATCTTTTCTCAAAGCTGTAGAAGTAGTAGTGGTTCAAAGCATCCAATAGGGCAAAAGAGGTTTTTAAGTGGGGGTTTAGATTAGGGCTGGGATAAGTATGTGTAAATGGAAAAATAGACTAACTCAGCTACCCCTCTGAATCTTTTGTGTAAATGGTTAACCAATGAGCCTGGGTTAATTTGTTAACCTTTGCGATTACACACAGTCCATCCAGCCCATCCTTCCCTCCCCGTTGCATTGCTGCCTTTGTATTGGAGGCAGCTGCACGGGGGTGATGGGGGGGAGGGCTTCATGGCAGCCAGTGACCACAGGGAGCCACCTCCCCCAAGATGTAAACCTGTAACTACTGAGTTTTTCAGACATGTTATATTTACATGAATAAACGCTTTTTAACACTCTAACCTTGAATACTTCATTGGGTCAGTAATAGAGGTAAGAGGCTTTACATTCTTCTAATGATTTGAAAGTTAGCCCAGCTGGAAACTGGAAGTTGCTATCTGGTGGCTGTTTAGAACCCTGTGTAAAAGGAATTGAGGGCCTCAGTCTTACGTATTCCCTAAAGATAGCTGGCTTCATTCTGTCAGAGAGCTAGTAGGTTACACTGAATGTGTTTGTCAGCTCAAACTGAACTAAACCTACAAAACTACTATATTGCACACAAATCCCAGCTCTGTTCCCATAGTTATAAATATCAGTCAGTTTTCCATTTTAATAGCATACCACTGAAGTCTGAGGAGTGTTGTTATTCTAAACTAGAGCCCTGGACTGTTTTTTTTTAATCCCATTTTTATTCTGTTCCCACCTGCCAAATATGAGCAGGTGTAATTGGCCAGGGCCCTGCTGCACAGAGGATAAGTTTTGGGTAGTGGGGTTTGACCTCACACACTAGACAGCGAGGCTTCCTCTGAAGCCTGAGCCCTGCTGCCCATGGCTGAATTAGTGGAGTTTTGAGGAAGTTATGGAAATCTCATAAAATCACAGAATCTGTGATGTCCATGCCTGACTCGTGATGGGGTGTGTATGTGTGTGATACAAACTAAATTCAGACAGTTTTTACTTCTAGGAGAATAAAACTAAACTTGCTTAAAGTATGTAAAAATACTTTTAACTCTTGTTATAATAGACATCTTTCTACCCCTCACTTAAATTTCAGTATTAAAATCTTTATTTAAAAAAGGGAAGAACTTGCTTTCCGTTACTGAAATTCTGATGAGATTTAGTGTTTTTCTGCGAATTTTCTTATGTTCTTAAATTATCACAGTCCGGTTTTATTTGCCTATCCAGTCCTGTGTGCAACAAAATGCATTTTAACCAATCTGCCTGTTATGACAAGGTGCTCCAGGACCCATGGAATCCCAGTCCTCCACTGCAGGGCTCCGCTCTACACCTCTCCTGTAATGGCAGGATAGGATGCAGTGCACACATCCCTAAGACACACACACATACAGATGCCTTTACGTTCAAACATACCTGTTTCTAGTAAAGGAGTTAACTGAATACAGGGCCTGAAAAAATGTTCCATTCGCTGCTGCTCTGCTGTGTTTTGACTGTAATAGTTGCCCCTTGCCATACAATATTATGGTTTAAGGGACCTGGAGACATTGCTGCTATGCAGTGATGCTGCAGCCTAATACAATAATCATTTTGCAGCACAGAAGACTTTTCCTTTTTCTTCAGATACTTGTTTAATGTACTCCAGATTTTTAAGTAAAGGTTTTTATTGCACTGCTGGTGCATATTTAAATTCTTGCAGAAAATTGCAGCCACTTACTTTAATTCCTTAGCAATAATCAGGTAAGCTTTCACTAACATCCATCAGTGGAACAAATGTGTTTTCTGAAAAACATCTTGTATTCAAAACTAAAACTGGGCTTGATGGTCTGAAAAGCTGTACCAGTTTAATTTTAAATCGGTTTTTAAACATATGCAAAGCCTTTTGTGGCCTTTAATTTTCAGATTGAGCAGCAAATTTTGGTTTAATTTAAGCACACTTCTTTACTGAAGGTAGCCTGAAATAAATTAAACTGAAATAAGAGTCTAGGCAGAGGTTTGCCTGAGTAACTAAATTTTTATTGAAAATAACATCTACTATATCGGTGAATATTTGTCAGAACTCATGGCTGCTTTGCAGATCGGGGCACCGTTAACATGAACGTTGACTAGATTTGAAACCAGTTTGGCAGTTCAAGTCTGCAAAGTAAAGTTGAACCAGGAAACCATGAGTTCTGACAAATATTCTCTGAGTTAGCAGATGTTGTTTTTAACAATACTTTGTGATAATGGAATTTTAAAAACATTTTACAGTTGATTTTGTGACCTGCACTCAGTTCTACAATTACTATATTCAAACTTCAAGTTCAGATCCTGCAATATAAAGGTCAGTTAAGATTGTTTTAATATTTGTGATTTGGGCATATTAACCTCCATTTACATTTGATTGTATAATTCTGCATGAATTGATAGACCACTGCATTTTTAGAACAGTGGAAACCTTTTAAATATGCCTCAGGCTGGTTCCATTGGTGAAACCTGTAGCTACGTGACAGAGTAAGATGGTCAGAATTTTTTTTCTTCAGAACCTTTTTGGTTTGTTGAGTGGAACAGAAGAAAGCATCCACTTGGCACAAGAGTGTGAGAGAATTATCCTTTGTCTTTACATTCATTAGTTGTATATCTTTCTAACTCCCTTTTCCCCATATGTCTGAGACAGCTGCAGGGAAATCTGAAGGCGTTTTCATCTAAGGTCTTATATGACCAGTGCCTAGAGAATGTGCCAACTTGGCAGAAATGATGCACCTTTTATCTTCCCTTTGAGGCTACATCATACTGGCATGACTGACCTGAAAACTTACTCTGACTTGATTTTTCCATTTGAAGCCAGTATCTCAACTCCTACCACATTAAAGATGTGCATCCTCAAAATGCATCAAACTGCTGTACATGTCCGGTTTCCTTGACCAGACTTCTAAGAATTTCTGGTCTTCCTAGATGTTTCCAATGGACTTAATTCTTTCAGGTATTAATGCTGACACTACAGAACGATCCACCTTCATTGGAGACGGGTGTGCAAGATAAAGAAATGCTGAAGAAGTATGGGAAATCGTTTAGGAAGATGATTTCATCATGTCTACAAAAAGACCCTGAAAAAAGGTAAAGCTACTGCCAGCATTTCAGACTAAATGTTGTAGCTCTCCAATCTTTGAGCCAAGATGATGGCAGAGGACCTGTTGTGCAGAAGTAAGTTCTCCTGGCCATCACTGTTATTTTTAAAAATAGGAATTGATGTTCAGAATTGTATACGACTGGTAAAGACACACGACTTCCCATTCTGATTAATCAGTTCGGACTAGCTCTCAGCTTGCAGTGTAGTACTCCCAGAGAGTTAATTGCAATTTTTGTTGCACTTTGGGTTCAAGCTGCACTATTTTTTGAACATCAGAAATTATAGGTTATGAGCTATGTATATTTTAAGTTATGCAGGTAAATACATTGTTTTTAAATTCTTAACTCATTTGATTATTAGGCATATGTACTAAGTGTAGCTACATAAACACTGGCAAGTTTCCAATAACACATTCTCTCAACTCTGCATACCCTTTAAAATATCCTGATACAGCAGTTTGAATTCATCTTCTCAGATGTAGGTAATTTTTGTTGAATGTTATTGAAGGTGTGGTGGGAAGCAAATGGACTTGCAATTTCCAGTTTATTACTATTTTTCCTTATTCTGTGGTGGGTGCCTGAAGCACCAATCCGAGTCCCATTGTGCTAGAAAAAGTACAGAGGAGTAAGACAAAGTAACATCATCTAGAAGAGACCACAAACCAGTTTCAGCCAAACGGTGCAGGGGGTTAAAAGCTCCTAAATATCTGTCACTTACCAAAGATAACTAACCTGCAGAATTAGTATTTAGTAACCATCTGCATTAGAGTGAGCGGAAATGCATATGTGGTTCTGCCTGTCAGCATTACACATACATCTGGAAAAGAGCCATCAGTTTTGCTGTCTTTATTAGATGTGTCAAAACAGCAACTAAACACCCAGGGCTGGCCTGTCAGTTGACTCGGGTCTTGGGTTGTGAGGCTGTCTCATTGCTTCGTAAAGTACTGGGCTTGGCTTGCTGCCCAAGCTCTAGAACTCTCCCACCTCTGAGTCCAAGAGCGTGGGCTGCAGCCAGAGCCTGGAAGTCTACACAGCACCCCAATAGCCTCAACCCCATTAGCCTGAGTTGGCTGGCATGGGCCAGCCCCAGGTTGTTCTGCGCTGTGTAGGCATAGCCACTGAGGCTCTCAGAATGAAGCAGTTCCATTGAAATCATGTTAACTTTTTCTCTCTCCTAACAGAAAGCTGGTGTTGAGCATAAGTGGCAGTAAGCAGAAACATTTGTGTCCGATTAAAAACAAATCTTCTTCTTTTTTTTCTTACCTGAGTAAGCAACCTAAGATTCAGAATGTTACCATGTTACTTACCGGAGGCCTATGAATGGAACTCGTGCACTAATTGCATCTTCCATGTTATAGGCCGGTTACCGTGAATGGGGCAGGCAGCTTTGAAGAATGTTATATTTGAAAGTAATAATTATAACTCTTTTTCTCCCTCTTCTGTTAATAGACCAACAGCAGCAGAGCTATTAAGACACAAATTTTTCACAAAAGCAAAGGTATGATAAAATTTTCTATCTCAAGTTGTCATTCCAAAATTATATTTCAAAATTTTATATGGAAAGGAAATATTATGTATAATGAAATATGTAAGGCAGTATGAGGCTTTATTGCTGTGAGTTTGGAATGGCTGTTTTATTTACAAGTTAGTCTGTTTGTTGCAAATGATTGACATAAAACCTTCATATGCTATCAAATCATGTATTCTGTTAAAGAAACATCTTTCATGGACTATAGAAAAATTCTTAGAGATTATTTTAGAATCTTCCATTGGATTTACGCCCCCCACACTTCTTAATGTCAACTAAAAGTATGTCTACACTTGCAGCGATGTGGAGCTAGCTACAGCATGCCCAGCTGGCATGGATATAAATTAGGCAGTGCAGCACCTCTGAGGCAAGTAAAGTAGAAAGGCTTTGGCAGAGGAAGACAATTGGGAAAGACTCCAGCTCAAGTGGAGACTTTTCCCACTGCCTCCCCCCTTCTAGAGCCTTCCATTACCACATGTAGTTGCATTCTGCAGTGCATGTGACTGTCCCATGTGGCTACACATACCTTTCACATTGGTACAAATGTAAATTAAGTCTGAGGGGGAATAAATGTAACTCAGATTTTAGAAAGCTCTGAAAACCATCTAGGAGACTTTCCGTGTATGAACACCAGAACTATGAACTGACCAGTCAACCACACACACCTCATTTGGAACCAGAAATGTGCAATCAGGCAGCAGCAGAGACCAAAAAAAGCAAATACAGTACTGTTCTGTGTTAAATGTAAACTACTAACATCATAAAAGGCAAGTTAAAAATGTTTTGACAAGGTAAAGAAACTTTCTGTGCTTGTTTCATTTAAATTAAGATAGCTAAGAGCAGCATTTTTCTTCATCGTAAAGTTTCAAAGCTGCATTGAGTTGTATCCTTTTGAAAGAACAGCCATAACGTTTTGTTCATTTATGAACAGTGTCCGTTCTTGATGTGTCTGTAACTCTGAGGTTCTACTTTATGATGCCATGAGTAAGCTGCAGTGTTTCAGGGCTCTCATAGACTAGCAGCAAGTGCTGTATCCTCTTGAAAGCTGGACCTATCCCATACTAAAGATGGTATAAAACGCCTATCTAGACCAAAAGGCAGTTAAATCTGTCACTGGATCAGTGTGGAGTATTTTTCTTTCTTGTTCAAGGTGTGTTTTGAGCGGTGTGGAGAGAGGCTAAGGGATTTCATATTAGGTTGGAAACAAGGAAATGTGTTTCTTGTTGGCTGTTTAAGACAGAAATGAGATTTCAGATTTGTCTTGTTGTTAGTACAGGTTGAACCTCTCTAATCTGGGTTTTCCTGGTCCACCACCTGTGCGTGCTCTGGGGCTGGAGCACTCATGGGGAAAAAAACTGCACACGTGGGCCTGGAGAGTTGCTGGACTAGAAAAGAACCAGATCCCGGGAGCATGAAGAATCCCTGTGCTATGGCTGGCTGAAGCAGCAGAGGGGCAAGCATTGTTCTTCCCTGGTCTGGCAAATTCCCTGGCTCGGGACTGGTCGGAAAAAGGAGGGGGGGAATCAGACACATTCATGGATCAATAACTGGTTAACAAATAGGAAACAAAGGGTAAGAATAAATGGTCGGTTTTCACAGTGGAGAGAGGAAAATAGCTAGATCCTCAGGGATCTGTACCTGACCCAATGCTATTTAATATATTTATAAATAATCTGGATGAGAGGTCTTGGAGGGGTAGCTATATTGATCTGTAACTATCAAAACAACTGTGGCACCTTAGAGACTAACAAATTTATTAGGTCATGAGCTTTTTGGGGGTAAAACCCACTTCACCAGATGAGTTGGAGTGGAAATTATAGAGTCCAGGGTATAGCAGAAGAAGCTAGCAGTCAGTTGTAGGACCAGTGTTGTTGATGCTAATAAGCCAGGCTGGATGTATCTCATATTCACTCATTTGATTGAAGAAGGGTTAATAGTGAGGTGGCAATTTGCAGGTGATACTAAATTACTGAAAATAGTTAAGTCTAAATTTGACTGCAAAGACTTACAAAGGGATCTTGCAAAACTGGTTAACTAGGCAACAAAATGACAGATTAAATACATAGAATCATTGGATACCTGGAAGGAACCTTCAGAGGTCATAAAGTCCTGTCTCTTGCCTTCATGGCAGGGCCAAGCACCATCTAAATCATCCCTGACAGGTGTCTGTCTAACCTGCTTTTAAATATCTCTGATATGGAGATTCCACAACCTCCCTAGGCAATTTATTCCAGTGTTTAACCAGCCAGAGAGCTAGAAAGTTTTTATGTCCAACCTAAACCTCCATTGCTGCAATTTAAGCCCATTCCTTTTTGTCCTGTCATCAGATGTTAAGGAGAATGGGGAGAATAACTCTTCTTCTTGCTCCTTATAACACCCTTTAGGTACTTGAAAGCTGCTGTCATGTCCCCTCTCTCTTTTGATTAGTGCAAAGTAATGCACATTGGAGAAAATAGTCCCAATTATTATATGTCCAAAATTATGGAAGCTGAGTTAGTAGTTACCACTGAAGAAAAAGATACTGGAGTCGATGTTCCCTCTAATATTTTCCATTGGTGAGAGGAAGTTTTTCCATCCACGTATGGAATAACTTTTTTGTGCAGAGACGCATGCATGGATGTGCACCACCTGCAGAAACACAACCTAGATATTGACACTGCTAATCAGCGGGGCAGCATTTGAATTTCCCTTGAGCGGGCCACATGAGCACATACTTACAGGGAACCTTGGACTCTGTAAGAGAAGAAACAGGAAATGCGGAGTGAGCGGAGTAAATAGACCTCTTAATTGCAGATATTCGTTCCCCTCGGGCCCCCAACACAATGTTCTGAATGAGCAATGATTTGGCACCAGTTACACTCCTTTATCCATTTTAATATGTTAATTCACACCTCTCACTACTTCCCCTAAATCCTTATTTAGTAATGTTAACTCCTAAACAATGAATATTAATAGGCAGGTGATGAATATTATACCCACCCCTGTTTACTGTTAACAGGATTTTGAATTAGATCAACACTTTTCTAGATTACATAGTTCCCGAATCAGCAGGTTGCCGAGATTACAAAGGATGTGACCCTGGAAGTATTTTTCCAGAGCAAGTGAGAATAAGCAAAAGACAAAACAAAGAGGACACTGTTCAGTGCAACCATATTTCAAAGTTGCATGTACCAATGGAAAGAGCATTTTATACATTAGAAATGACAGTACCTGCTCTGGCCAGACCCTTTATTTTTCCTGGCTGCAAGCATGAAGGGGGAAAAACCTGTTCAAAGGACAATGCCTGCTCTGGTCAGATCCCTCCCACTATTGTATTGCTTTTCTGGATCCCTATTAATTCTTACATATTCCAACACTCCCCCACTCTTTCAAAGAAAGGCCCAGGCACCCCTGCTCCCCACACGCTGGCCGGTGACTAGAGATCTTTCTCCAGTTGCCTGGTACCTTGGTCCGCTGGTCATACTATGGGAAGATAGGAAAGGGAGGTCACACATGGGGTCGGTTACTGGCTTATAAGTATGGTTTCTGGGGAGTGACCAGGGCAGTGAATACCCTTAAACTTGCCATCAGTAGAATTAACGATATAGTCAGTAAGATTGAAATCCTGACTGCATGGATAATTCATCTGAGGCCTGAATGAGGTGTTTGATAGGCCTCTCCGAAGGGCACAGGCTGTAACAGTCCAAGCACAATCTGCAGGCGGTTAAGTTGGTCTGGGCTTCCAAGATTCGTGCTTGACGTTGTTCAGCCTGGAGCTACTTTAACTGATGTCAGTGCCCCAATATATCCAGGTAGGCTCAGGTATTTCTTTAGTCCAATTAGTTGGCACCATCAGGTGTCTGTTCAGGTTAAGCTGTTGCATGGCCTGTATATAAATCCAATAGGTGGAGTTTTTTAATTTCAGGGAGAAATCACGCCAACCAAATCCCACCCTCCAGAGCCTCAAAGGGGCTGTTAGTCTGTACAGGCAGTCCCTGGGTTACGTACAAGATAGGGACTGTAGGTTTGTTCTTAAGTTGAATCTGTATGCAAGTCAGAACTGGCGTCCAGATTCAGCCGCGGTTGAAACTGATCAGTTTCAGCAGCGGCTGGCGCCAGGTTCCACCTTCATACAAGATTCAACTTAAGAACAAATCTACAGTCCCTATCTTGTACGTAACCCGGGGACTGCCTGTATATATATATTTAGGGCTGTCAATTGACATACGTTAACACCTGCGATTAACACAGTCCAAGTTTAATGCATTACATTTTGTAACACGTTAATCGCAGGCGTTAATGCTGCACTGCCCCTCTGAAGTACTGCTGTGGTGCTTCAAAGGGGCAGCTCAATGTTGAGCCTGGGGTCAGACGCCGGGGGCAGAGCAGCGGGGGTGCTGCTGGGTTGCTCTGGCAAAGCCTCAGAAGCGCGGGAACCAGCCGCTGCTGCGGGTTTGCTCGCGGTGCCCCTGGTCTGCTGGGGACGGTCCCCAGCCGACCAGGGGCACTGGGAGCAGCTTTTCTCGCCCCGGAGGTCAAGGTGGCTGATCGCTGCCTGTGAGCTCCGGGGCGAGAAAGCCCCGTTCGTAAGTGCGGATCCGACATTAGTCGGATCCGCGTAAGTCGGGGACTGCCTGTAATTGAAAAAAACTTTAAAAAAAAAACAACTAATAGTTCTGTAGTGCCTTAGACTAACACAAAAATGTGGGTAGTCCAGAGCCTGATCATTAAGCATTGCTGATCCCTCCCAACAAATTCTATTTCCTTGTTCCACCCAGTGCTGGGGGAGCCTGGCTTTTGCACGCTGTAGGAGCAGTGGTTCTTGTGACTGTCCTTCCCAAGTATTCCAGGTCCTGCCCATATTAACCCCATGTGCTGATAGAATACCTCTGACCCTACTAAAAATGGAGTATTGTTTTACCCAACCTGGACTTGCCATACTGGTTCTTGAGACCCATTTCCATCTGCACCCACCGCAAACCCCAGACTGT